ATTTAGAACAGATCAAAGCAAATTTATTCCTTTCCTCCCCTTTTATTCATTTCTAATTTAGTTTTATCACATATTGTTTTCAGAGCTGGCCTACCTCGTGCCAAATATGGTATAGAGACTGCTATATGTTTTTCGATCCTTCGGGTACTGTGGCATTGTCAGGAACTCCTAAAAACAAATCCCCCAATCAGGAAATGTACAGTGCAATTAATTTCCCAGACTGTAAAAAGTCACTGAAACATTCAATACTTTCTTTATGTTATTAAAAGTCCTCAGATAAAGGCTCCAGAAATCATATAAACTTGCCCACAAGCTGTTAGGAACTCACTTGTCTGCCACCTAGAATGACTGTAGATCACTTGGCTCCCTCATCTGTACACTTTCAGAACTTAAGAATTCTTTGTGGTCCAGAACACCTTTCCTCCAAGGATCTGAAAGTACTTTACAAAAGTTGCACAAATCTAACACCACTATTATTATTACTAATAGAAATGTAGCCGTGTTAGTCTGGTCTTGCTGGAAAAAAAAAAAAAAAAGACAGGACTATGCAGCATTTTGAAGCGCTGCATAGTCCTGTCTTTTGTTTCACTGTTATTACTGTGATTCAGAAGGGGAAACTGAGGCACCCAGCAGTTATTGGACTAATTTCTGAAAGTGCTGAACACTTGCAGCTTTCATTGACTGCAGCTTTCATTGACCGTAGGTTCTGTGGGCATTTGCCACTTTGGAAAAAAGATGTCACAATTGATTTAAATTAAAGCTATGGTATAAGTCAAATGGTACAGAATCCTGGCATCCTGGCTCCCTAATCTTATACCTCAAACACTGCCCAAAACCCATTCATTTTGGAGAAGGAGAGACAGCAGCATAGATGGAGAGGATGATTCACACAGTACCTTTACTCCTTCAGGACTCAGAATCAAAAGCGAGACTCTGTGGAAAGCATTAATACGCACAATGGGGCCATACTCCTCTGCCCTATAAGAGAAAGGGCAGAGAAGAATTATAATGCAAAATAATACATCAATCATGTGTGAAATGAAAACACTCTCAAATAGGGATGTAAGTGGCTAGTTGACTATCCGATAAGCATAAGCTTATCGATTACCTGGATGCGACTAGTCACTTTCCCCCTCTTGCTCCCTTTATCAGGGTATGTCTACACAGCAAAGTTATTTCAAAATAACAGCCGTTATTTTGAAATAAATTTACTAGTGCTGGGGGGAGCTGGCTTAAAAAACAATTCCCCTCAGCACTGTCTCTGCGGGGAAGTGGGGAGGTAGAGGCACAGTGGGAAACGGTCTCCGCTCATGCAGCTTCTGCTGTGTCTGCTTTTGAAATGTACATTTCAAAGGTTCATGTGCTGCAGGGAGCGCAGGGAAATCCGATAAGCATAAGCTTATCGACTATCGGATAGCTTATGCTTATTGGATAGTCAACTAGTGATGAGACTAGTCGCTTTGCCCCTCTTGTTGCCTCTATCAGAAGGAGGCAGAAACGTGGGGGAAGCAGGAGTCCATGCTGGGGGGAGCTGGCTTAAAAAACAATTCCCCTCAGCACTGTCTCTGCGGGGAGGTGGGGAGGTAGAGGCACAGTGGGAAACGGTCTCCGCTCATGCAGCTTCTGCTGTGTCTGCTTTTGAAATGTACATTTCAAAGGTTCATGTGCTGCAGGGAGCGCAGGGCCAGTGGGAGAGCTGGGGTGGTTCTACGCTCCCTGCGGGGCTTCCTTTTGAAATGTACATTTCAAAAGCAGAATTGCAGTGGGGCTCTTGTAGATTTCAAAAGCAGAATCGCAGCAGAAGCGGTGTGAGCGGAGACACCCTTATAGACTAATCGAATAGTGGATGGAAATCACATCAACTATTTGATTTCTCAATTAATCTAAATGTAACGTCCCTACTCTCAAAGGAACACAACAGGGAATAATGAGCACTGCTACTATCACACCTACATAAAGTAGGCATGTTAGTGTGCAGTCAGTCATTCACACAATTAACTGATAAGCCTAGGCAGCATGGGGGGAGGAGGGGAGAGGAGTCAGCACTGCAGGGGGCTAGGCAGGAGTCAGTGCTTGGGGGGTTTAAAAGCTGGCTCCCCATGAGCACCGGCTCCCATGGAGACACCTGCCCTCTCCCTCCGCCCTGCACTGCTGCCTCTGATGGAGAGGCGGCAGCGCAAGGAGTGAGGAGGGCAGGAGGGAGCGGGTACACATGGGAAGCCGGCTTCCAAGCTGGCTCCCTGCACATATCAGCTCTCGCGGAGCTGCGTGCTCAACACACTGCTGCTTCTTTATCAGAGGCAGCAGGAGGGGGCAGGAGGGAGCCAGTCCTCACGAGGAGCCATCTTAAAAGCTCCTGCCTCTCTCCCCACCCCCATGTATAAACGTGTAACCACTAAAAAAATTCAGCAGTTACACAGTTACACAAATATACATTAGTTAACATCCCTAATGTAAAGCATTTACAGCAAGACCTTTGTTCTGTTCTTGACTGGGAAAAATCGCTTAATCTCTTTTTGCCTTGGTTTCCCAATTTATGATGAAGATTAATGATGCGAGCATGACCCTCTCTCCTGCACCCCACCTCCCTGCGTAAACGTGTAACCACTAAAAAAATCCAGTGGTTACACCTTTACACAAATACACATTAGTTAACATCCCTAACGTGAAACACTTACAGCAAGACCTCTGTTCTGTTCTTGACTCTGTCAAGACCTGTTGAGTGACTCTGGGAAAATCGCTTAATCTCTTTTTGCCTTAGTTTCCCAATTTATGATGAAGGTTAATTATGCGAGCATGTCCCTCTCTCCTGCGTAATGCTGAGTGGTTGGGCAGTCCAATAAAATAAAAGAGTTATTGAGAGATAACATCTTACCATTGTATGAAGAGATCCTGAATCAATTCATTTCTCTTGAATATTCGCCAGATGATTGGCAGATGTCCCAGTATAAAGCTAAAGAAAACAAAACTTTCAGCAGCAGTAGGCTCTTAATAATGGCTTATATTTAATCACATGAACAATGATTCAGATCAAAGGGCTACAAGGTGAGAGGGATGTGGAAGTGTAACCATTTATACAGTTAACTGATGAGCCTGGGTTCATTGGTTTAGGTGCACGGTTACACACAACCCCTCAACTCCACCCTCCCCCCTCTGTGTGAGAGGCAGCAGCACTGGGGGAAGGCACGAGCCAATGCGTGCAGGCAGCTGTCTCCTAATCTGGCTCCCCACGCATATCAGCTCCAGCAGGGCAGCCTGCCCCCGCCCCCACATTGTTGCCTCTGTGACAGGTGGGAGCTGGTGCACGCGGGGAGCTGCAGGGAGCTGGTTTAAAAGCTGGCTCCCCTCAGGCAGTGGCTCTGGAGAACCGACTGCCCTGCCACATGTTACTGCTGAAACTTTCAGCAGTTACAATTTTACGATAATAAAAACATTTTAACATCCCTACAAGGGAAATAGAATACTCATTAAACTGGCTAACACCTACTGTCCACAATAATGATACCTTTGCTTATCTTGGTATGTACTAGCATGAGACACTTATCCAAAAGAATGTCAGTTTGGAAAGACATCTATTTTTCCATGTTTTCCTTTATTTTTTGTATGTGAAATAAACCTTTGACGGGATAAGCAAAGATGTAAGCCATACAAGTGAGAAAAATGGCACAAACCCTTAATGCAATCACTGCCTTCATGGTCTATTCAGCAGAATGCCATTTTGATCTAACTACAAGCAGGATTATAACTGGACTACCCCTAATATTATTTTGTAGATTCTGAAAGGGCAGACATGATCATAATTGTAGTTACACAACCAAACTTGATATCCTTGCATGCCTGCTTATGCAACAGAATGCTATTACTGCCTCTGCTCACATGCTAGTACATGCCCAATTTACTACTGTACATAGTCCCAAAGGTAAGGTTAAATAAACAACCTCAATACCACTACATGGGTTGTTTCTCCTTGTGATAGCAATGTCACTTTGGAGTTACAGGCCTTATTACCACTGTTCATATCTGTTGATACTTGTTGGGTTTTATCTGTTTTTGTTTCTGTTGTTGTCATTTTGGAGTTACAGGCCTTTTTACTATTGTTCATATCTGTTGATACTTGTTGGGTTTTTTCTGTTTTTGTTTTTTGTTGTTGTTATTGTTGGTTTGGGGTTTTGTTTTGTTTTTTTGCCAAACCAGAACCTGCACAGTAATGAAGGAAAATGCTGCAACAGGTGAAACTATTATCATCTGCTATGATCCAAACATTTCTGATATGGCCAAAGGCACCGAAGAGGGCAAATTTGTTGTCAATCAGGGTCAGTTTAAAGGCAGCGTATTGATGAAAACAGATCTTAAAACATAACTGGCACAGTAGCCCTGAGATAAGAACAAGGAGCCAGAAGTTGCATACCCAAAGTGGTCCCTTAGCTAGTGTTTGATGTTTAGGACAATGGTAAGAATGTTTCTGGTACACAGAGGAATAAGAACAGGCTGATGGTGGAAACCAAGAGACCTACATCTACTGCCAGGCAGCTCTTCCATGGATTATGACCTTGGTCAAGTCATTTACTTAACGTCTTAAGATCTCAGTGTTCCCGTCTAGGGATGTGAATGGTTAACCGGCAAGAGTCACCCTTGCTGGGTGATGCCCATCAGTTACAGTTAACTGGTAAGGGGCAGAGCAGCCCTGCCTAAGCTCATTTAAGTGGTTAAACATGACAGGTTTTACATCCCTACAGGTAGCTCATTTAAGTGGTTAAACATGACAGAACTTACATCCCTACAGGGCCCACAGCAGCCCCTCCTCCTATTTCTTCACTAGGCCAAACGGTTGTGACATTAGCAGGAGAGCAGGGATCCTGGCACCAGGCAGGTGCGAAGGGAGGACCCGCTCCCCAGGGGACCAGGCAAAGGCGGCTGGGGGCTGTATGTGTGGAGCGACTGAGATGCCCGAAACAGCAAGATCCCTCCCCTCCCCCGCGGGGCAGGCTGCCCCCCCTTACCTCTCTCTCGGGGCGCCGGGGATGTGATCGTACTTGGCGTGGGTGGCTGCCACGTAGCAGCAGTAAAGGCCGAAGGCCAGGAGGCAGAGCGAGAGCAGGAGGAGCAGCAGGGCCCCCAGCCCCTCCATAGCCGGGGCCGGCTCGCTGGGCAGCCCCCTCCGGCCTCTTGGCTCGGCTGGGCCGGGCGGTTTCCGGCTGGCCGGGGGAAGGCAGCAAGCCCCGGAGCTTCCCCAGCCCCGGCCCGCGGCCGCCCTGCCTCCCGGGCTGGGGAGCGTGGAGCAGCCTGGCCGCGCGCGGGGGAGGGTGCCTGGGGCTCGCTGCTCGTCTCAGCAGCGGGCGCGCGGGGAGGGGAAGGGCAGAAGCAAGGGCGCGGGGAGGGGACACGCAGGACGCCCCCTCCCCGCCA